ATGTATATCTCAACTCATCCTTTTTCGTTGGTAACCAGAAACTCAATCCAATCAACGATGCAGATGTCAACGAGTACAAAATGACCATAAATGCGGTAAACTGCACTGTATGGATCCAATTTCTATAAGCTGAGTAGCTCAATGGGTACAAATATGGGATAGCGGACGCGGCAATAGTCACAGCTATAAGAATCAAGACAAACGCGTATGTAGTCATCATGAAATTCCAAAACAACCAACGTGAACCACCAACTGGATGTCTCCACGTGAATAGTCTCTGCGCTAGTATCAAATTGGCTGATACAATAACAATTGCCGGAACAATCAAAAACACCTCACTGACGATGCCCTGAATAATATAGGTAATATCGGTAGCCCAGTGAGCACGTAAACTGAATCCGATAATCTTCATCATACAATAGAAAATCCACACAAGTGATAAGTAGAAATAGTGGCCCCTGGAGGTATTGATAATAAAGACAATGATGTGAATAATCATCAAGACTCCGAAAATCACGGCAAACGCTATGCTAGGTGCATAATCTTCATGAGTGGGATACTCCCCAAACAAATTATTTTGGGTGGTGATGAAATAGTCAATGAGGACTGGGGGAAGGTTGTAGCCCATTATATTTCTTCCCCATGAAAGTATACCATTGACACCGGTTCCCTCTGCTGATCCATCAAATAATGTCTCTGTAACTAACTTTCCCATTCCATGAGCTGGAGAATATAGTAGCTGCACCATTTTCAGTTGTTTGCAATGTGGTCAGAATGTAAGGAGTGAATGGGTTATTTGGTATAAAGTAGGAAGTGTTGAATGTAGATGGTTTTGATAGTCTTTTTACTCGTACTCGTAAATTTGGCCTCTTCCTTGAGCCAATGTTACAGGATGGTAATCTGGTTACCTTATACGGGTGCCGTAAATGTCAAAACCGCCAAAGCCATAGTCAACAAATACCTGAAGGGGAGGAACATTAGCCTTTATACACCTTGAGAGTTGTCAGTTTTTACCCCACCGTTTCATTGTGTCTGGCATAAAGTTCCAAAAACGAGTAGGCGGTATTTATTTAAGCTTCGTATCAAACGTATGTCTTAAATTTGAAAATGATGGATGACACATACACATTAATAACTGCTTGAGATCTAGGTTACGAGACTTTATAGAGGGAAAAGAAAAAAAAACAAAAATTGCCCTTTTAGTTTACGGTTGTTTGCATTTCACAAAAGTGGACCCAGGGTCAGTTTTGCGATTGGAGAATGGAGGAGATCAATGTTGAAAAATGGTACTCATTTGATTAAGATACTATGAGCTTGCATCTCAAAGAGAAAGATGGCCGTGCCTCAACCCTCTCTATTCTAGGTGTTGATCTCTAACTGCCAAGACCAGTATGTAGATTCGTAGGGCTTTGCTCGACTAATCGTGTGTATTTTTTTACAAGGAATTGTTTTTTTTTGTTTTTTTTCTTTTTTTACAGCGGGGTAGAGTAGCCGGAGATAACGCACTAATTAGTTGAAAGTTGTATTTTCATTCGCCTCCTCACTTCGATTAGAGTGTAGAATTATTTTAGTGGATCCAAGGAAAGGTAGTTTGAGAGAAATAGTTTGATTGATTGTACAAACGTTTCATGGATATTTGTAAAAATTCAATCTCAGCCAAGCACGAAAGGAGTTTCACTTCAATCTCATATGAAAATACACCTCCTGATTTTGCAGCCTCTTTATTGCATGTCGTGTCATCCATTCTGCTGAAGACAAAGCCTCTCAGCTGTATAACAATTGAATTGGAGACTTTTTGAGGATCAGGGGAGATCCTTTGTACCACTTCGAGGCTCCAGCGACTGCGCAGTGATTTGTTTGTATTTGATCAATGATAGAATGTTTCTATTATTTATGTCCTTTTTGGTAGTTTGTGTAACATTACCTAATCAGGATATCATTTTTTTTTTTTTGTTTTCTTTTTGTACAATGAAAGAACAATTTCCTTTTCCAGTAAGTAGTGTTGATCTGTACATGTGAGTGGAGAAAGGGGAATTGTTGAGCAATACGCTTTGGTTTAACGAGGCTTCTGCTCGTAACGTGCTTCCGAGCAAAAAAACACAATTCACATGTTACCAGTTTGCATTCGTGAGATCTGTCTTGTAGAAGATCCTGCGTTGCGCCTTATCAGCTAGCTGTGTTTTCGAATGTGAATCGAAACTGTATAAATTATCTATAAATGATATCCCTCTATAAATTTGTGGTAATGAATAAAGCTGTGCTTTAGGAATTGAAAAAAATAAATTATTGGCTCTTTCTGCAAGCATTCTCTCTTAAAACTTGAATTCATCGTCAGAATCTCCAACTTTCTTGTCGTATTCGTTTGCTGGAGTGTTTGTAAATGTTCGTTGGTTAGGAGTAAACGATCCGGAGTCGGAATCTCTTCCTTTTTCGTCAAATTGGCTACTTTTTTCATTTGCTGGAGTGGTGCCAAAGAAAAAGTCATCACTAGATGGAGAAGAATCTGCCCCATTTCCAAAATCGAATCCATCTGCATCCTCGTCACTGTATTGTGGGTAGTCGTAAGGGTCACGGTATTTGTCATAGCCACCGTCTTCGTCCTCATTGCCACTATCAACCGGCGTCACCATTTGTGACTGGTCAGCCGTGATGATGGCCCGCACTTGAGATGGCAACACATCTGGTCTGTAGAACCGCAAATCTGCTCTTCCAATTATGTACGACATGTTCATGATGAATTCAAAAACACCCCAACAAAAGTACATAGAAGTCAGTGCCGCAGCTGGGGAAGATGTCTTTTGTTGCCGAGTTTGAAACACAACCACGGCTCTCAACATAGCGGGTACAAATACGCCAATTGTTGAAATGATAACAATAACGAGGGAAACGTTGTGCTTCAAATCACCTCTTTTATTTGTCAATCCTTCCACCATATTGTAATGGTGATGCGTTGCAGCAATAACTCTAATCGCATGTCGATGGTTTGAATTCCGTTTCATGAACGTAGCCTCAGCCTCTTGTGCAGCACCTTTCTTGACAAAATAAAATGGAGCAAAACTTTCAATCCACCATGGTTGATACGTGTACAACCGTTCATCCTTTTTCGTGGGTAACCAGAAACTCAACCCGATTAATGACGAAGCAGTGAGCGTGTACGAAATCAACATGACGCAAACAAACTTGTTCAAATTTTTGTAGATATCAAACCGTGATGGAGAAATGAAATACATGTACGGAATAGCCGATGAAAGTATAGCCACAGTCAACAATATCGCAACAATGCAATAAAGAAACAACATGAAAAACCAGAATAAATTTCTGCTTCCACCAACGGGGTGTCGCCAAGTGAACAACCTCTGGGCCAAAATCAAGTTTGTTGAGATTAACAAAACGCTCGGTACAACAAGTAGAACCTCATCACCGATCCCCATTCTTGCATTTGTTATGTCTCTTGCCCACGCAGCCCTGTACACGAAGGAAATACATCTGATCAAATTGGTGAATGCCCAAAATAAACTCAATAGGAAATAATGACCGCGGTATGTGTTGAGGAGGAAGATGAACATATGCAACATGGTAACGATACCGAAAAGCGTGGCGAATAAAATACTTGGTGCAACATCACTGGCAGTTGGGTATCGACCTAGTAAGTCAATCTGTTTTCCAATGACGTTGTTGGTAAACGTTTGTGCAATCTTGGGGCCCATGATTCCATGTGCTTGTACAACAATGTCATACACTCCACTTGCTTCATCGGGGTTGTTGTTAGCCACAAGTAGTAGCTTCACTGCACCATGGGTCGCTGAGTAGTATTTGTCGGAATCAAAAATGCTCAGCGTTGGCTTAAACAGCATTATTACTGTGAGGAGGCAAAGTAAGGACTGGTACTGAGACAGAATATGTCAGTTTCATGTTTGTGCCAACTGTTTGAGTTTATATATCCAATCCCATGGAATTATTTGAGATACGGATTTGACTACAACAAGGATAAATTAGGAACAAGAAGAAAAGAAAAACTTTTCAAAACAAAGTCAAGGTTTGTGCAACTTTTCGGATATTATTTGAAGAACGACTTCCCGGATTGGGAAACATAATGATTCATAAAAAACAAGAGGTTAATTGCTTAATAAGATATAAGGTTTGCCCACAGTTAAGCAAATGTAACAAAGCTTCACGACAAAGAGTGGTCCTGTTGTGGTGAAGAATTTCTCGATTCGTTTGTAAAATATTGCCCAGATATTGGTGCAAACTGGATCAAAATGATGTTTCACAGATCAAAACACGTGAAAGTGTTAGACTTCTCACTACCGAGCCGAAACCACTCGTCAATTCCAAATACCTTCTGCATGGAGACTGCTTTGGATCTCCGTCAGGCACGACATGCTCCCTCTTTTTTCTTTGTTTCTTTTTTCTTTTTTTTTTTTTTGTTTTTGCCGAGGTAAAGAAACTTTCTTCACTTTCCGAATGCAGTGTCAGCAAACGGAAGCAAGCACAAGAAACGAGAAAAAGAAAAGAAATTCAATCAAATTGATGTACAAAGATTGCCCCTCATAAATTCAACGGTCGGACACAATGTATTTCCGTGCAATTTGTTACTTTCGCTATTATTTGAATACATGTGACAAATATTTTATACTCTTTGTTTCGTCGTACACTTCGGCTGCCAGTTAGACAGCTACATTGGTGTTTCTTCAATAATTTCGTCTCCATTTAATTTTAACTCTAATACACTAGATATAGCGTACATATAATACTGGGCCCACTAATAAATCCGAACCAGCAAATACAATTGCCCAATACCTTCTTGTCTCTCATAAACCTCGTTCTACTAATCATAATCAACGGAATTTGTGACATTTGAAACAACAACAAATAACCACGTAAAGTACCAAAAATCACATACATCACCAACTCGTGAACTATACTGGATATAACAAATGTAATCAAAGCTGCCTGAATCCTGCTAACCTTCAACGCACTGATACTGGAGTGATAAACATGGCGCAAAAGAAAATTGTGCACCGGCTTGTTCCATAGCCTTGCATATTCTGAAAAATCAGTACATGACCACCAAGGACCATAAAAATCACGATCTGCAAACAAGGTCAACTCCGCGAGGGCATTCAATATGGAGTCCCAAATGAGGAAAAATGTGAATAAGTACTCAGATAGGAAATGTGGGATCATATCAATCAATATGAAAAAGTATGAGCTGCCACGTTCGTGTACAGGGAGTTTCCTGGCAACAGCCGCCCTTTTAACAATTGGCAACATGCTATTCTCAGCAACAAACACCATAAGAAAGATAAGACCGAAAATTCCACACAATTTTTCAAAGACGTATAGCCATCTCACTTTCTTTGTCCTGGGGTACTGAATAGTGTATACCAATGTTGGGAACATGCTGTACTCAAAGTAGTTCCAGAGGTTGATATTCTGAGGGAACTTTATCAAGCCACGTTTCTGTAACTCGGCAAACGAGCAATCAAGGACAGATTCGTCGCACTTGCTGTGGTCTTGCTCCGGTTTATCGGAAGTGGCTCTTGATTGGTACTCTAACTCGTACTTGGTAAACTCGATGCTTTTTTTCAAAGTGCTGATTGTTTCCTCCAATTCGTGCCCTTGTGGGAGCTCAACCTCGCCATTCTCTAGTTGATTGAGGTACTTTTCCAGGAACATACCCTCATTGAAAACCGACCACAAGTATCCATTATAATATCCATAGGAGTGCATCTTCATCACAAACACGAGACTATGCAACACCAAAAAGACTTTGGCAATCCATGGGAAATCCATGTGATGGGAAAACCACAAATAAACAGCAAAGAATATAGAGTCGTATACACTCTGCAAAACCCAACCAAAACGTCTCCAACTTAACAAGCGATTCCGACAAAGAAATTGTAGAAAGAATGGGAAATACGAAGTCAAGTACATTGCCAAATCAGTCAATGCCACTTTGAACAAGTCACGCTGCAATATCTTGACAATCTCCCAGTCCCAGAGTGGTGAGTAGTTTTCAAAATGCATATGCACAAGCTCATTAAATATAATGAAAGCAGTGGCCAACCAAAACAAAATATAAAAGCCGTAAAACTCCGACTTGATGAATTCTTGGGAGTCAAAAATGGTGCTCTTACCGGTAAAGGATAAATCTCCAAACCTTAACCGATACTTTTCCCTTCGCTTTTGTTCTTTCCCATCCTCGGACTTGGATTTTTTCCTCACAAGTCGGTGATGATCTTGCTCAGAGACATATTTGACCCATCCGTCCAATGTAAAATCAGACTTCGACACATCCAGGCTAGCACTTTCCGTTCGAGGAATCCTGGAAGCACGCGTTCGAGATCTCAAGTTGCCGCCTTTGGCTAGCGGACTACTGGGTACTTTCTTACCTGTAGATCTCACTCCATTCGACCCTTGTTTGAAATATCCATCACTGGATGAGACATTAGTTGCAGAAGTGGTTGATGATTCCGGTGGAGTGACATCAGTTAAGTCAGCCGGGTCCTTGTCTAAGGTCGACGCCTCAGTTTCAGTATCACTCGATGACGCATTGTAGTCGTTGTTTATATCTAGCAAGTCTCTTCTGTTGATTCTGTCGGAGATGAGATTCAATTTTTCATCCGTGTTCCCTCTCTTTACCATAATGAAATGAAGGCTGTTTGAGTATGCTTGTGGGCTGAGATGTAAGGTAGTTTTGCTTCAGTTTTCAGATGCAATTTGAAAGCAAAAACGAATAGTTTTTGACACTGTTATGTATACGATTCTGACGAAATTGAAGAAGCAAAATAGTGGAAAAATAAATACGATGAGGTTAGCCAGTGTGTAGTCTGATTCTCATCCATTCCATTTATAAACCAATACAGAGGTCAATCCGTCGGAGTTAAAGGTATTTTAATCCTGTTTTTTGTTGGGAAATACGCAACCACAGAAACAATAGAGCAAAAAGAACGTTTCCGTTTTCCGAAATCTTAATTTCAATTTTAATTTTAGTTCTTTTCCTTTTTTTCTTTCGGAGAGTGAGATAGCAATCTATCTACTGTGCTAAAAGAATCGAATCCTTTTCTGCACATTACGCATATAATGTGTAAGCTCTTAAATTAGTCCCGTCATATATATATTTATATATGCAACGGAAGCTAAGCTTGTTTTTTCACATCTCTTGAGCTGGAGGGGAATTTTTCTCTGTTCGTGGAGAAATCTGTAGAAAAGGATATTAACAGATCTGGCTGAGATGAGGTAATTGCTTACCAACTCCGATATATATATATATATATACATAAATACTTTGGCAGTCTTTCACCTGTACACTCTTTCAAACGGTCTGGTGTCATTGAAGCAGCTCTTCCAAACGATTCCCACAACCTTTTCTGCCTCTTCCTTGTTTCGACAAGCAGGATTTGCCGCAACTGAAATTACAGCTCTTCTTTTAATACAGTCTTGAAACTTTTTACCAAAGTTGCCTAAGCCGGTCTTTTTAATTTCAGCCCATATTCTGCACTCTCCACTCAACATCGATGCTCTGATCTCCGTACAAGCATGATGCCTCAAGTTGGTGTAATTCATGTTGAATTTCATGTAGTCATAAACATGCACAAGCTCGTGTGTCAAGATATCCTCTAGTTGCCATTTTGATCGAATCCAGTTGCTACACAACAACACACCTGAATTGGGGTCAAACCCACCACCTTTTGTGAAATCGCAAGTGGCACATTTGATATATTTGGGATCCATTGGTTCGTTATCCTTGTTCAACTTTCGTATATGGTCCATCATAAATATGACAGATGGCGAGTATTGCAATACCCATTTGAGGTTGTCGTTACAGGATCGGCATTTTTCCTCAAGATTTCGATTCTGATAATCATAGATGTATTGTGCTCGATCTTGTTCAGTGAAACCGAGACCAGTTTGGTACAGCAAAGTTCGTCTCCACCATTCAAAGCCAGAAAGTTGTGATGGAGGGGATAAAGTAAGCTGCGACACTTGGTCGCTTGGCGGCTGTGGAGTTGGATGTGACATTTGTCAGAAGATATGGAAGGCGTGCTGTCTGAAATGCGGTCAAAAAGGGTCTTGTCTAGTTTGTAAATGAATGTGGTTGTATGCAATAAAAGTAGTAGAGGACTGCAGAGGTGTTGTCGTTTCTAATTATATAGCCCGACCTCTGGTCAATGATCGGTTAGTCTCTCGTGGCAGTTCAGTGCCTCAACTGAAATTTTTTTTTTAAAATTTTTTTTTTTTAATTTTTTTTTCACTGCAAAAAATTTTTTCACCCAAAAGTTCTGCGATACCGTTCTAGTCAGCAACTTTACCAATGTCAGAACAATTGTCACACCCATCGATCAAGGATGGCTGGTTTGCAGAAATCTCAGAAACTATGTGGCCTGGCCAAGCCATGTCTTTGAAAGTTGAAAAGGTTTTGCATGTCGAGAAATCCAAATATCAAGACGTTTTAGTCTTCAAGTCCGAAACTTATGGTAATGTTTTGGTGTTGGATAACTGTATTCAAGTTACCGAACGTGATGAGTTTTCCTACCAAGAAATGATTACCCATTTGGCTTTGAACTCCCACCCTAACCCAAAGAAGGCATTGGTCATTGGAGGTGGTGATGGAGGTGTCTTGAGAGAAATCTTGAAGCACGAAAGTATCGAGGAGGCTTGGTTGTGTGACATTGATGAAACTGTTATCGAAGTTTCCAAAAAATACTTGCCTGAAATGTCAAAGTCGTACAACGACCCAAGAACCAAAGTTCACATTGGTGACGGTTTCAAGTTTTTGGAAGAATACAAGAACCAATTTGACGTTATCATCACCGACTCATCCGACCCTGAAGGACCAGCAGAGAGCCTTTTCCAAAAACCATACTTTCAATTGTTGAAGGAAGCATTGACTGAAAAGGGCGTTATCACTACGCAAGCTGAAAACATGTGGATTCATATGGATATCATTGCTAAGTTGAAGAAAGATTGTGGGGAAATCTTCCCAATTGCAGAGTACGCCTACACCATGATTCCAACTTACCCATCTGGCTCAATTGGATTTATGGTATGCTCAAAGGATGCTAACGCCAATGTTAGAAAGCCAATCAGATTCGATTGGAGTGATGACTTTGTCGCAAAGAATTTGAAATACTATAACAAGGAGATTCACGAAGCTTCCTTCATCTTGCCAAACTGGGCTGACCAAAAGTTGAACAAGAGCGGTTAAAAGAAGTATTTATGTAGAGTGTAGTGTCTGGTTAGATTGTACCCTTTAAGAACCGTAAATCTTTCTTTTGAGATTACGGGCGCGCCGAGGCGGGTCCGATCTACACAAAGATATCAATGTAACACAAAGAGTGCGAGCACTTCGAAAGCCACTTCCTTGAAAAATGGGCATCGCAAGAAACGTATCTGCTCGAGTTATCGTCGCTTTCTTCTCCTGTAGCCATGACGTTAACAAAATATGAGTGTACATCTAGCGTGCACAGCTTCCTCAAAGAGTTGCCAAAATGTGAACATCATCTTCACCTCGAAGGAACTTTAGAACCACATTTATTATTCAAATTGGCAAAAAGAAACCACATTGAACTACCAGCATCATTTCCATCAACAATCGACAAATGCAAGGCAAGATATGATGACTTTGCCGATTTGCAAGACTTTTTAGATCACTATTATGTTGGAATGAGCGTCTTGATCACCGAACAGGACTTTTACGATTTGGCAATGGATTACTTTGCAAAGGCAAAAGAGGATGGGTGTTTACACTCGGAGGTATTCTTTGACCCACAGGGCCACTTAGAAAGAGGGATCGAGTTTGATGTCGTAGTTTCAGGGTTCAATCGCGCTTGTGAGGATGCAAGAGCTCAGTTTGGAACTACTAACAAGTTGATAATGTGTTTGTTGAGACACTTGCCCAGCGCAGATGGAAAGCAAGTTATTGAATCCGCTGGGAAGTACTACCAGGAAGGTATCATTCATGGCTTGGGATTGGATTCAAGTGAGAAGCCCTTTCCTCCAGAGCTATTTGAGGAATGCTACTCGCTTTTGAAAGAGAATCATCCTCATGTCGAGTTGACGGCCCATGCTGGCGAGGAAGGTGATCATACATATGTTGAAAAGTCTTTGGATACATTGAAAGTGACTAGGATCGATCATGGTGTCAACTCCAAACACTCGGAGTCGTTGATGCAACGGTTGAAGGAGGAACAAATTATGCTTTCACTATGCCCTTTATCAAATGTAAAGTTACAAGTAGTGCAAGACGTGGGGCATTTGCCTATTGACTTCTTTTTGGAAAAGGGGGTACCGTTTTCAATAAACTCTGACGATCCCGCCTATTTTGGTGGGTACATTTTGGACAACTATCTTGCCGTGCACTCGAGGTTTGGATTTACCTTAGAGCAATGGAAACAGATTAGTTTGAATGGTATAAATGGATCGTGGTGTGAGGAAAGTAGAAAGCAGGAGTTGAGATTGCTTGTGGAAAAGGTCTGTGCAAAATATGCAGCACTTTTGTAGATATTTGGGTAGCGAATAGATATTGTAATTTTGTAAAGTTTCGTCAAAAAGAGGTGATAATAAAAAAAATTCCCCAGTGGCTACACAGAGTGATACCATGTCGCAATCATCCAGAAAAAAGCTCTTGCTTATGGGCCGTTCGGGCTCAGGTAAGTCATCCATGCGTTCCATTATTTTTTCCAACTATTCCGCGTTTGATACAAGAAGATTGGGTGCTACGGTTGATGTCGAGTTATCACATCTTCGCTTTTTGGGCAACATGTCTCTCACATTATGGGATTGTGGTGGACAGGATGTCTTTATGGAAAACTACTTCACTAATCAAAAGGACCACATTTTCAAAATGGTGCAAGTTTTAATCCACGTTTTTGATGTTGAGAGCAAGCTGATCAATAAGGATATCGAAATATTTGTCAAGAGTTTGACAAACTTGCAAAAGTACAGTCCTGATGCAAAGATATTTGTCTTGTTGCACAAGATGGATCTTGTACAGATTGATAAGAGGCAAGAATTGTTTACAATAATGATGGATAAATTGCAAAAGATAAGTAACCCGTATCATTTCAAACTTGTCGGGTTTCCAACTAGCATATGGGATGAGAGTTTGTACAAGGCATGGTCACAGATTGTGTGTTCGCTAATACCAAATATCAACTTGTTCAACAGTAACATAATCAAATTCAACTCTATATTGGATGCTGAGGAAATCATTTTGTTTGAAAAGACAACATTTCTCGTGATTTCATCGACATCCTCAATAAAACAGCAACAGAAGCAGCAACAGAAGCAGCAGCAACAACAACAACAACAACAACAACAATCGCAAAAAGTGACAAATGGCAAAGTAGACCCTCAAAAGCAAGAGTCGGAGGAATTGGATCCGAAACGGTTTGAGAAGATCTCCAACATCGTAAAGACATACAAGCAGTCCATCTCCAAGTTGAGGACGAATTTCAACAATTTGGTCATAAGAGGAAGTAATGGCACAACGTTCTACCTTGATATTTTAACCGAAAATATGTTTATCATGGTTGTGTTGAAGAAGAAGGAAGAAGTGTTTGATGGATCTGCGGTAGAGCAAAATGATGAATCTTTGGTTCTTGAGAATATCAAAGCAGCCCGTAAATGGTTTGAAAAGATTGAAAACTCAAAGTAGAAGGGGAGCGGAGGTGTATAGTTCTATCTATTGTAGCTATCAATAAACGAATAAACGACAAAGAGGAAGAAATTGGTGCGCGTGTTATACGATGAAATTGAAATTTTACTCTCTCTCTGCTAAAAAATCCATTCCAGCTTCCTCAACCTTTCTTTCAACACACACACACATACACACACACCAGCAATGGGCAAGTTCGTACAATTACTCTCCCATCCGGACGAGTTGAAGGCTGTCATTCAATTGAAAGGGTTTAGACAACCATTACACCCTGTCCCAACATCTCAATCGCCGACTTTGAAAAGATGCTACGAGTTGTTGAATCTCACATCGAGATCATTTGCAGCGGTTATTGAAGAGTTGCATCCAGAGTTGAGAGATGCCATTATGATTTTCTATCTCGTGTTGCGGGCATTAGATACGATCGAGGACGATATGAGTATTAAACCGGAGATCAAAGTACCTTTGTTACGTACCTTTTATGAAAAATTGGACTCTAAAGATTGGACATTTGATGGAAATGGACCAAAGGAGAAAGATAGGGTTGTTCTTGTTGAGTTTGATCAGATATTGGACATCTACCATAGTTTAAAGCCACAGTACCAGGAAATTGTCAAGGACATTACCCGCAAGATGGGCAATGGTATGGCAGATTACATCTTGGACGAAAATTTCAACCTTAATGGGGTGGAAACCATTAAAGACTATAACTTGTACTGCCACTATGTTGCAGGATTGGTTGGCGAAGGTTTGACTAAGTTGATGGCATTGGCCAAATTTGCTGATGATGCCGTGGTTGAAGACAATTTTGAGAAATCAAACTCAATGGGACTTTTCTTGCAAAAGACAAATATAATTAGAGACTACTATGAAGACTTGCTTGATGGCAGATCCTTTTGGCCAAAAGAGATTTGGTCCAAGTATACCCCGAAGTTGCCTAAATTTCACGAGGACAAGTCAATGGAGTTTGAAGGGTTGTCCTGTATCAATGATCTTGTTTTGAACGCACTCGGACATGTGAGAGATGTTTTGGAATACTTGTCTCTAGTTAAAGACCCATCAACTTTTTCTTTTTGTGCTATTCCACAGGTTATGGCAATCGCCACTTTGGCCGAAGTGTACAACAATCCAAAAGTCTTGCATGGAGTTGTAAAGATTAGGAAAGGTACAACTTGCAAATTGATATTGGAAAGTAGAACCTACCCAGGAGTTGTAAAAATTTTCAGGCACTATATTCAGGTAATTAACCACAAGTCAGCGGTTAGGGATCCAAATTATTTGAAAATTGGTATCAAGTGTGGTGAGATAGAGCAGTTTTGCGAAACTATGTTTCCCTCAGAGAACGCTATACCCGAAGGCGCTCGCGTATCTGAAGGGCCAATTAATAAGTTTTTGAAAAATAGAAAAGCCATTGATGACAGCATGCAAGTCAGAATTGACCAAGAGACTTTTAATACAAACGCCGTTTTAGGATTCATTGGTGTTTTGTTGGCAAGCTTATTCATTTACGTGTATAGATAGATCTAAGTTACAAAATCTATGGTAATATAAAAGGCTATACTGCAAGTTGATGCAATGGAATACACGGTAGCGCCATTTATTTTGGACCGCAGTTCTTATATTATTTTCGGTGATAAAACTCGGTAGGAGATACAAGAAACCCCAATTCAAATATGTCCGGTTTCAGCAGCTCAGACATGAATGTGGTTTTCCCGCTTAAACTAATCAATTGGTCTTTGGACGGTTCCGATGTTGAATCAACGACAACCCCGATATTATTGCAGGACCAAAATGGACCATGCCCTCTCGTGGCCTTGGTCAATACGCTTGTCTTGCAATTTGATTTTAGAACTTCACAAGTGGACGCGGTCAATCTCAGTCAGTCCCAGACACATGACGAAGCTGTGACAAACTTGAAGTCAAAACTATTCACTCATTTTCACAACTCATCATCAATAGGATTGGGTGATATCTTGGGGCTTGTGGCTGATTTGCTTTTGGTGTACTCAGAAGACAATATTCTGCACGAGATAGTTGATAACATCTTGAAACAGTTGCCAAAGCTACATACAGGTCTCGATGTTGACCCTAATTTGACGAATGGGAACTTCGCCCAAGATTTGGCAACCACTTTATTTGATATTTTTGATTTGAAGTTTAAACATGGGTGGATAATTGGAGATGCAGAGTCTGGGTATGCTGATGATGAGTCGATCGAACACACCTTTTCAATCTTGCGTGAATTGCAAACGTTTGACAAGGTACAGGACTATCTACTTTTACCTGATCTGGACCCGGCCGTGGCTGAGAACCAGCAACATATTCGACAATGGTTGGATGCGACTTGCTCGCAACTAACACTGGAAGGACTTTTAAAATTGGATCATGATTTACCATCGCCACAATTTCTCATTTTTTTCAGAAACAATCATTTCAATACACTACTCAAAAAGTCGAGGAATGAGTTTTACTTACTCGTTACAGACTCCTCATTTCAATCGAAAAGTGGGAAACTAGTTTGGCAAAGCTTAAATTCAGTTTCAGGCGGTGGTGATATATTCTTTACCGGAGATTTCATGCCAGTTTTGGACATTGAGCAAGACATTGGCCAAGAGGAAGAAACTCTCGATTCCGATTTGATATTGCTGAGACAATTACAAGAGGAGGAGGATGCGGCCATGGCCCGCAAGATGCAAGAAAAGTATGAGAAAAGAAAGACACGGCAGTCGAACAAAGTGGTAAGTACCACAGAGAACAAGGAGACAAAAGCGCCTAACAAAGTTGCCGAAGAGAAAAAGAAGAAAAAGTTTTTCAGTTTTCTTAGTCGTAAATAAACGTTATGATGATTCTA